AATCTAACCCATATTGGAGAAGAAAGACCCTTAGTCGAAGAGGAGTTGAATTCTGGAGTCCACTTCTCCATTCCAATAATATGATCATTCACAAACCACGGACCTCCCAAAAGCACAGCTTTAACCATTTCCTCTGAAGAAAAGGAACATAAGAACCAACCACCTCCTAGGATGGTAAAATGAAATTGACCAAATTGTTTCCATTGCTTCCTTAATTCCCATGCAATCATATGAGGAGGGGTATCTTTACCAAATACTTTGATAACCAAAGATTTGGATAATTTATTAGCATTTGCTTCTTCCAATTCCGAATACATTTTAACTGCTTTTCCATCATCAGATAAAATCAAATCATCTACTTTGAAATCCAAATTAATATAAGGCTTCCTACTCCAAGGACCATTGGAGATCGCTGATTTAGGTAAATCATCAGACACGTTAACTGCATTTGATATATCAGCCTTATTAAGATTAGAATGAACATCTTCGTTAACCAAAGGCTGCGAATTTTCATTTATCACGCTGCGACAGAGTCCAGGGATTGCATTCGAATTCACAAATCGATTAACAAAAATTTTCATTCCCGATGAAGATGCCGAAATACCAGATGAATTCAATGCAGATTTTGTGTTTTTAGGAGTTACCTGTTCATCCAGGTATGAAACAGCCTTACCTTTCCCTTCCACATAGAATTTCTTCTGATGCAATGGAACAGCTCCTTCTCTGATCACCAAAGCACCTTGCCGCTTTGCAAAAGTAGTATTTCCTAATCCATTTCCAGAATTTCCACAAACCTTTATCGGAGAATCACCGGCAATATGCCGGAGATCGTCCTCCTCCATCCGCCAGACGACCGTTACCGCCAAGGAAGAAATTCAAATTTGCAAAATCTCCTACCTGATTTTACGGACGTTCTCTCTCCTCCGTTCTCTCCAACCAAGCATCATCATCTCTGCAACACTTAACTTTGTATTATGCTTCTCTTTTAATGGCCAACACTCGGCACCATAAAGCATTACAGGTCTCACCACCATCTTATAGAATTTTTCCTTAAGTTTGAGGGGGACTTTTCTATCACACCATATCATAATCTCTATAATATATAAAAAATTACACGGTGAAAGTTTTATCAAAATAAAGTTATCTATATTTTTCGGTAACAATAAAAAAAACAAATTTGATTGGAAAAATTTCAAAAATATCAGATTTTTGAAAGCTGAAATAGGCAAAATATAACCTACCTCGAGACAATTTTTTTCCATCTTGGCCGATGGATAAAAACGGCTCTACAACCTTCAAAATCCAATTTTATTTTTCTGTCTCCTCCTTTTTTATTATTATAGATAAAAAAATTTTAAAATTTTTTAGTTATAAAAAAACGAGTCTCCGCCACTTTGACATGTTATAATTTACTCTTGGGGTTTTAATATGTAGCAGTAAAGACAAAATGCAGCGTATTTCAACATGTTATACTCTAATTAATCAGGATAGTCTTGAAATCATTTTGAATTGAATTTGCATGCAACATCTCTAATGATTATTTAGGAAAAATAATGACTTTTGGGTTGATGAGGTCCCTTTAACAAATATGCTCTCTAAATTTTATTCCTCTCATTAACATCATAACTCCAAATTGATGGTTGTAGCCTAGAATTTATAGGAAGATTGTTAATATCAACTTCAATGTGTCCTTCCTTGTTAGATATCTATCCATATCATAAATCTTAGAAAATAGGTATAACAAAAAATTCAAAAAATCACTATCAAATTTGTTAAAGGATACATACGAAAAACAAGCTATCAAATCATACAACAAAATATAGTGATTTTCTCCATCATTGATATTTGGGTTGCATGTATTGCATTACATAACCTTATAATTGAATGTTAGTTCACCAAAATTTCTCTCTTTTTTTTTTTTCAGAACAAAATGAGCTGACCTACTACTGGAAGGTATTTGCATTCTCCATTGTGCTTCTTGCCTTGATCTCACCATTACACATTGGAAAGAAATGATCAGAGAAGGAAGAAGATGAATATAATAGAAGAAGATGTTGTGCCAATTAGTTATCAGTATTGTAGTCTCATTTATAGAATTTAAGTGGAATGAATTGGATAACACAAAGTTTAAGAACCTCATAAAATTTCAGCAAATTCATAATCAAGCTACAAATATCAATTAATCATATTTCATTTCATCTCCTACATTACTTAAATGTATATTAGCTATATTCACTTCATATGGGACTAAACCAAAAATTCAATGAATGTTAACTATTTTCTCTTCACGAACCCAACATGGATAGACAATAAAGTTAAAATTATATGGACTGTTTTTATTTATTTATTATTATTTTTTGTGACAAATAAAAATCACTATGAAACGAAACATTCTAAAAAATATTGTCTAATCTGAGGAATAAAAAAAATATATTATCTAATCATAGGAATAAAACGAAAATTTTTAAAACATATAGATAATTATCCAAAAGAATTCTGTTAAAGTGTTTTTGTCCATAAATTGTTCAATTTGGAGAAATAATAAAATTGTAAGGTCTTGCAACAATTAAAATTTTACTTAACTTGGACTAAGTAAAATTTCTACTTGATAGAAGCAGATAGATAAGATTGAAATGACAAAGAGGAGTAATCGGAATTCTCAGAATAGAAATCTGAAAATTCATGGCAAGTTACAAAATAAAAGCTGAGATTTAGAAACTATATAATATGCGGATCATGACGGGGCTTTTTGGTTGATGGAATAATATATCCTTCCGTTGATCCATGCTCGAATCTCCTAACCTGACTAAAAAAAAATGAAAGAAAATGTACAAAATTGGTGTATGGCAAGCTTTCTAAACTCGTAGTTCCCTAGAAAATTTTGACAAAAAAGCAGCAAGGCAATGTTAAAAAATAATAAATGATTTCATTGAAGTGAATAAAAAATAAACTTGTAAGAGAAGAAGAGAAAGGAGAGATAGAGGAGCAAGATAAAGAAGATGATTTATCTCACCATAAAGATCATCTCTCGCACACTGATTTTTCCCCTTTGTGGCTTCGATCCTCAAGGAAGACTGTTGGATCGCGGATGGATGATTGCATGAAGAAGAGGGAGCCAAGAGGGGAGAGCCGCTCACAATTGCACACAAAAAAAGGAGTCGGGAGGGGAGAGCTGCTTGTGATTTACAGTTGTTGGACGCATGATCGCCGCCGGTTATGGCAAAAAGGCGAGGCATGAAATTTAGGATGGACAAATTACCAAATTATTCTTATTCTAAAGGTAATTTTATTTAATTTTAGGATAGGCAATGTCCCAACCTCGGCATATCTTGGTTCCACTCCTTCGTATCCCAAATGAAGTTGTAAGATTCATTTAGGATGATTTCAACCTTTTATAAAGGAACTTTTTTTTTCAATTTGCTATAAAAAATAGCTTGTTAGTATAAATTTTTTTTTAAATAAAGGAAAAGTAGCAGCCAAAAATATTGTTGTTGTGTTCTAAAAAAAAAAATAGTATTAAAAATGCCACAAATGAAGACTTAACTAATTTGATTATAAAAATAGCTTTTAATAATAATTTTTTAAAAAATTATAAAAAATAATAGCTGAAAAATAGAGCAGCTAAAAAGCTATCCGACATAAACCTGGAAAACCTAAGTAACGAACCGGTGTTTTTTTTTACCTCCACTCTCAGTAGTGGCCAAGTGTGCGTTGCCTCGCAACTTGTCTAATATTCAATTAGAGAAGCAAAGGGAGAGCGAACCAAGAAGAGACAAACGCATGCGGATCCCACTGGCCGTCAATCTCCTGCTTCGCCGCACAAGAACGAGGGAGGGTCTTGTTCCCAAAGCAGCTTACGATTCTCACTTCTTCAGCCCTAAGCCTCAATTATTCCGATTCCTATCCCTGAATCGAGATCGCTGAGGAGAGTAGTCAAACGAGTCCTGCATCGTAAGAATAGGAGCTTTTTGTTGTCAGATCAATCCGTTTTCCTGCTTATATCGATTGTGCCGCTCACTCTTTCCATGTTTTGCAAGGTCAAACCTTTCCATTGTGGATTTCGTCGCTGATGCAGCTGGAATTTTGGAGGTGCAAGGTGGAGGGAGCTGATTCCGAGGTTTGCATCGTTCAGCCGCTTCAATTCTGAGATCAAACTTTAGGCTTTCGACGTGAGCTGGAAGGCTGCAAGATGATGGACGCCGCCAAATTCACCGGAATATTGGCCGCTGGCAATTCCGGTACCACGGGCGGGGCCAACTACTACGACCTGGGTTACTACCCGAAGCTCGGCGACGGTACAAGCATGTCGCTGGATAGCATCCAGACCGGGACTTACGGTAGTTCCGTAGCGATGTTGCTGGATAATAGCAGCGTTGCGTCTAATGATTCACGCACTGGAGTCCTCCACCTCAACGGTCCGCGTCAGGTAGTTGCTGGCTCGGCTGGCACCATTGGTAACTCCGTAGGCCACAGCGTTTTCCGCTCTGGTGGCGTCACCCATGTCCTTACCCGTGATGCTCTAGCACAGGCTCTGATTGACCCGAGCTTTTCCACCGAAGGCCTCTGCGATTATGAGGAGTGGACGCTTGATCTTAGGATGCTCAGTATAGGCGAGCCCTTTGCCCAAGGAGCGTTTGGAAAGCTGTACAGGGGAACCTATATTGGTGAAGATGTAGCAATTAAGCTATTGGAGAGACCTGAGAATGATCCCAAGAGAGCTCAGTTCATGGAGCAGCAGTTTGCGCAGGAGGTGATGATGCTTGCTTCATTGAAGCATCCTAATATTGTTAGGTTCATAGGAGCTTGCAGAAAGCCAATGGTTTGGTGCATTGTCACCGAGTATGCCAAGGGTGGATCCGTTAGACAGTTTCTTAGTAGGAGGCAGAACCGTTCTGCTCCACTGAATATTGCAGTGAGACAGGCACTCGATGTTGCCAGAGGAATGGCATATATTCATGGGTTGGGCTGTATCCACCGGGACTTGAAATCAGATAATCTTTTGATTTGTGCTGATAGGTCGATCAAAATTGCAGACTTTGGAGTGGCAAGGATTGAAGTGCACCCAGAAGGGATGACACCAGAGACCGGGACTTATAGGTGGATGGCTCCGTAAGTAGATCATGTTTTGTTCCCTGCTTAAGTTCTTACTGTCAATCTTATAACGGTCTTTGTTTTTTTTTTTGGCGAAAGGGATTTTATATATATATATATATATATATATATAACAATACAAGAACATAGCACCTTACAATTTATATTAATTAAGAGAAGAAACGTATAGATGGGGTGGGAACCGTGAATAGAGAAGAAGAGGTAGAAAATCGAGACGAAATAGTTGAGGGGAAGGGGAAAGGAGGCTAGCTCGCAAGCTAGAACAAACCCGCGGGTTTTAAATTCCAAAAATCATCACATATCTCAAAAACTGTCACAAAACAGCCCATTTATAAGGGAGAAAAAAAGGAAAAAATAATTAATGCATGGAGTTAAAGCACCACACATATAGGCATATAGCCACTAGAAACTTCTCAAAATCTGTAACAAACAGGGACCGAATGGACAACAACCAAGGGAAAAACAAAGCATCAGAATAGCAGCCAATGGGCACAGAAACTGAAGGGACAGTAGCCCAAACCGAAGGAACAATTACCAAGGGGAAAACACAGCAACCAATGAACACATAAACCGAAAATCAGTCTAGAGATGTTCAGACATTGTTTGGAAATTTGAATCAGCACACACAACATCTAGGGAATCCAAACAGCACACACAACACCTAATTGCATCAATTCTCCCTTGGTGGAGAATTCTAATCTTTTAATGAGATCATCTCAAAATTTTGAAGATGTGTCATTTCCATTTTCTGAATTAACACATACTTTCTTCGAATGATTTCCTTTTCTTGCTCAAATTCGAACAAAAGTTGAAGCTTCCTATTTTTATATCATTCGGCACAAAAATACATTTTCTCTTGTATTTTGTAAAGCTCATTTTGAAGTGGATCAGTAGAACATCATTATGGCGAAACTCATTTAGTTGTTGGAATTTTTTCATCTGGAATAAATGAAAAAGAAGGTCGACTTTCAAAATTTGCAGGATCAAATTCATCTTGAGACTCTTTTGCATCATGATTTGAAACTTTGACTTTTTGATTAATTGAAATATTTATATTTTGTTTTTGATTTTTAAAAGAAAGGAAAACTCACATGACTTGGGCTCTGATAAAAAATTGGTGCAATAAAAAAATTACATTAGGATTGAAACTTAAAGTCTTCCTTACTATAAACATAGACAAACACTTATATAATATAACAATAGTAGAACATAACACCTTACAACTTATATTAATTAAGAGAAGAAAGATATAGATTGAACGGGAACCGTGGATAGAGAAAAGGAGGTAGAAAACCGAGACGAAATAGTAGAGGGGAAAGGGAAAGGAGGCTAGCTCGCAAGCTAGAACAAACCCGCTGGTTTTACATTACAAAAATCATCACATATCTCAGAAACTGTCACAAAACAACCCCATTTATAGGGGAGAAAAAAAAAGGAAAAAATAATTAATGCTTGGAGTTAACGCACTACTCAAATTGCCACTAGAAAGCCCTCAAAATCTGCAACAAATAAGAATCGAAGGGACAACAACTAAGGGGAAAACAAAGCATCAAAATAGTAGCCAATTGGCACAGAAACCGAAGGGATAGCTGCCAAGGGGAAAACACAGCAAGCAATGAACACAAAGACCAAAAATCAGCCTAGACAAACTATTTGGAAATTCCAAATAGCACACACAACACCTAAGGAATTCCAAACAACACACAACATCTTGATTATATCAATTGGTGATTCAGTAGTGCATCTTTGTGCATGATGGGAATTGATCACTATAAGTCTATAATAATACCTTTGGTTTCTATTGCCATTTGGATACATTTTATAAATGAGCAGTATATTAAATTTTTTAGGATTATAAGCGTACAAAAGCAGAAAATTTAAGAATAAGCAAAACCATGATTCTGTTTTCCGGTTTATTAGAAACCGGAAAATGAAATTTTGGTTTCTTCCTAAACCCAATTTATTTATTTATTTTTGGACATGGGCTTAAAAAAAACTGGAAAACATAATTCTAGTTTCAACGAAACCGGTAAATGGAATTCCTGTTTCTGAATCTAGAAAATACAATTCCGATTTCTAACTTATTTTTTTTTAATCATTTTTCTTAATTCGGTTTGTATGCCAACCAAATTTTAATTTATAAATTTGGTGCATTAAATTTTGCTCAACTTTAATATTTTTAATAACTTATATTATTAAATTCTATGCCTCTTTTTTTTTTTAAATTAATTATTAAATTGGAGAGTGCTTAATTATTTAATTATATGTTGATGTCAATTTTAATCAATAATCATAAAAAATTTACATTAATCTATAATTAAATAATTATGCATTCCACTATTTAATTATTAATTAAAAATAAATAAATAAATAAAGATGCACATAATTTAATAATATAATGGTTTTTAATGGTTATTAAAGATATTAAAGTTGCACATAATTTAATGCACAAAATTTAATAATTGAAATTCAGTTGGCATACAAACTGAATTAAAAATTGATTTTAAAAAAATAATTAAGTGAGAAAATTAATTAAAATTTTCAGTTTCAGAAACTGAACATCCATTTTCTAGTTTCTTTGAAATCGGAATTATGTTTTTAGTTTCTTTGAAACCCATTTTCCAAAGAAAAAAATAAATTGGGTTTAGGTAGAAACTGGAATTTCTTTTTTAGGTTTCTACAAAACCAAAATTTCATTTCACAGTTTCTCAGAAACCGGAAAACTGAATCACGTTTGCCTATCCTTAAATTTCTGCCTCAGTACACTTATAGTCCTAAAATAATTTAATATACTGCTCTTTATTTTTAATATACTGCTAATTTATAAAATTTGTCCTTGCAATTTAGGGTTTACGTACTTGTGTTGTACTAGTAGCGCCATTATGTATATTATCGAGCTTAGATCCACGCATCCCAAACCACCACATTTTAGATTTAAAGAACCATAGCATGATTGCGCCTCAATTCTTTGTGGAGAGATGGGATTATGGATATTTATCATTAACAGTACATAAATGACTTTTGTTGTCTTTGGTAAAATCACATAATTAGGTTCAGCTAGGGTTTTGGTTATTGGCAGAGTCATACATTTTTTCTAGTCAGAGCCTTAATTAATGTTTTTAAATACTAAGGTTTTCTCGTCCATGTTTGGGATTGGTATTGTCAATTTAAAAAAAAATATTTTATTGAATTTTTATTATTTATTTAAATATTAAATATAAGATAATAAAAAAATATATAATTTATAGCGCCTATTATTCATAGAAGATATTTGATTGCTTGGAACCTGACTAATTGGCAGACGATGAGGATGGAGTTGATGCTGATTGCGACAACGAAGGTTGCAGTCTCATTGGATTTTATAGTTAGTTTAACAACTCCTTTCATAAAGCTATGCACTCAAATTTCAGTTGGTGAAGTCGTCAAACTCGCCATCGTCCATATCAACCAGCACTCTTCGTTGTTTATTTTTGTAAAAGAGGCTTCAATATCCTTCGCTCAACACTCTACCAGCGATGATGAGATTGAACGATTAGGGCATGACATTAACACTAATAGAAAAGACCCCTGCAATCGTATGTGAACAAGATGAAAATAAATATAGGACGATGTTTGGGGCCTATGAAAATTAATTTGCTGGTTTACGTTTTTTTTTTTGGGTGGGAGGGGAACTGTGCCCCCATGGCCCCCCTAAATCACCCATTGTTTTGGTTATTTGTTTAGATATGGTCTATGCCATGGAGCTTATAGTCATGTTTGGTAGTTGCTTGGTTGATTATTTGTATAGATCTGCTTAGACTATGCCGCTTAAATTATTTTACTTATAATTTTCTATTTTCAACAAATATATTTATTAAGACTTGTATAAGGTTTCTGAGAGGAAGTACTTGAGTTTGCAAGTAACCCCAAGGGTAATACTTGAGTTCGCAAGTAAACCTAGCAAGATTGAGTTGAAAACAGTGAAGAAAATTGCTGTTTACAGCAGTCAAACAACAAATAACAGTAGATTTTCTTAGGAAAACAGGGAAAACTTAGAGAAACAATAAGGAAATCCACTAATAGATGAAAGAAAATAGCAAATGAAATAGGTTTCTTTAATTCGAGAGGAAGAAACAACTTTCCAAATCTCTAGCCAAGCCTAGAGCCCAAAAATACAAAACCTAGATCTCAAATTGCTTTTCAAATTCAAGATGACCCTCATCCTACCCAAAAAGAGCATACTTAAAGCACAATACAAATATTTAATGTTGAATCCCTAAACAACCCTCCACATTTGAATTTTCCTCTCCAAACCCAAGCTCCCATCAATACATGTATTATTGCTTGGGCCTTAACCATGTGCTGCCCTCCCTTCCCATTTTAGCCTCCTGTAGCAAACTGGTCCAATAAGGATCGGTTCAGGTTGGGCCCTAACATTACCCACCATCCAAAGGCTCACCTTGTCCTCAAAGTGAAATGAGAGAAATTAATGCTTCACTCTCTTATATGGTTCCCAAGCATCGAAGTCAGGAAGGTCCCTCCATTTAATAAGCTTTTCTTTGTTCCCCTTTTTATCTGATCGCACCCCTTTTAGCTCAAGTGGTTCAAGGACCACTTCCAATTCCTCTGTCAGAGTTGTTGGTAAATCTGCACTAATTGCATGCTCCCTAAGAGCTCTCCTCAACTATGACACATGGAAGACTGGGTGTATGGTGGTGGATGTGGGTAATTTCAAATGGTATGCCACTGCTCCAATCTTGTCTAATATCTCATAGGGGCCAAAGTACCTCGGGGATAATTTCTTATATCTTTTATTGGCCACTATCCTCTGTCTATAGGGCCGCAGTTTTAAGAACATCTTCTCTCCCACTTCAAATTGAATGTTTCTTCTGTGTGCATCTGCCTGCTTCTTCATGATTTGTTGTGCCCTCAATAAATGTTTCTTCGAATCCTCCAACACCCTATCCCTTTTCTCCAAGTATTGCTCTATTGATGAAACTGGTATGCCTCCTTTCCCA